CTCATTTCAATAAAGGCGGAGTCAGGGATCGTCTCTTTAGTTCATGCAAACAGGAAGCAGTCAAACGTGTCGGAGAAGGACCTCAGAGTCTGGACTGTAGGAAAATGAGTTTTTAATTTGGATCAGATCACGATCCGTCTACACCGGAGGAGCTGCTCAATTCTGTTTTCTTAGTTTGTGGTTTCCTGTTTTATTTTGAAAATCAGGTTCTCAGTTATTCTGCTAAATGTTTTTATTTTGGATTCAGTGTTAAAAAGGCGATTTAAAGAAGAGCAGGAGCGTGTAAACTCAAACATCTGATGGAAACATGTGACTGACCTCTTCTTCTTCTTCTTCTTCTTCTTCGTGTCGTTTAAAGGGATATTCTGCTGTAAAATTAATTTAAGGTCAAACCCACCGTAACACCGAGTTAGACCCCTCCTCCAGAGATGAATGTTGTCGACCGCTTCCTTCTCTAGTTATACCAACTTTAGTAACGACCACAGGATAGAAATACAGAGAGCCACGCCCCCAACCAAAACGCCACTCTATAGCCACAAATAATGCTCAGAACAGCAGCTAACTTCATCAACAGGACATATAGGGTCACAGACATAGTACTAGACACCAAACATCTTTTTAACTTTGACTCATTTCTTTAACAAAGAGACTAAACACAACTCACCTACTCTCTTCCAGCAGACGCTTGTTTGTAGAGAGACCTCAGGCCAGTCCATTACAGACTACAGCGGGGTGCCGCAGCTCAAGGAAGAACATTTATGATCATTTCTTCATCATTTCCTTGAAGTAATAATCATAAATGTTCTTCCTTGAGCTGCGGCACCCCGCTGTAGTCCGTGACCCTATATGTCCTGTTGATGAAGTTAGGTGCTGTTCTGAGCATTATTTGTGGCTATAGAGTGGCGTTTTGGTTGGGGGCGTGTCTCTCTGTATTTCTATCCTGCGGTCGTTACTAAAGTTGGTATAACTAGAGAAGGAAGCGGTCGACAACATTCATCTCTGGAGGGGGGTCTAACTCGAACACCTATCAGACAGTCTGTGGTGTGTGTGTGTGTGTGTGTGTGTGTGTGTGTGTGTGTGTGTGCGCACACTTTTTGGGACTCCTGAGACTCGACAGCAGAGTTCATCTCAGATTTGGATGACTCCAGAACCAGGTTCTGATGGTCTCAGTCCCCGTTCCTCTTAGTTTCCTGTAACTGCTTCTCAGTGACTCTGGAGAGGCTCCGTCTGTCAGTCAGCAGACCTCTCAAAGACCTGGTTTCAGAGTGGATGATGTGGGACATGCTGCAGAAACATCGATCAGAGTTTGGTAGAAGAGTCGTCGTCTTTAACCTCTCAGAGTGTTTCTCTCTCTGTGACACACTGAGAGGTCAGACTCAGGGCAGAGGAGTGTCAGCGAATCACATTTGAATCTAAATCCTCCGTAACATCAGGATGAGGTCTGGGTGCAGCTGGACCTTCACTTCAGTCTGTGCAGCTGCAGACACCGTCAGCTCCGTCCTCACAGCAAACCAGCCGAGGAGAGGATGGAGAAAGTTCTTCAGAGCATCGTTCTCCTATCAGGCGAGTATCTTTGGACAGTTCTGTTTTCAGAAGAACCTCAGGGGTTCATTTTGGCTCAAATCTGATCAGGATCACTTTGTCCGTCTCTGCAGGACTGTGCGCCGTTTCTGCAGACGTCAAACGTCTGTACCATTTCGTTTATGAACCAAAGACCCTTCCTGAAGCTCGGAGCTACTGCAGAGAGAAGTACACAGACCTGGCGACTGTAGAGAGCGAGGAGGACGTGAAGCTCCTCAACAGCCTGGTGAATTCCAGCAAACTGAGCGACTCGGCACATGTGGGTCCGGTTCAGAGCAGATTTCAGGCTCTGAACCTCGTCTGTACTTTTACTTTAGGGTCCAAAAACTAAGAACCAGAACTTTCTCCAATGACACTCATTTCATGTGGTGATTTCAGCAGGCCTGGATAGGACTGACCTTCAGCACCAACAGCTGGAGGTGGTCTCTGTCAGATCCAGGTTTCTACCAACCCGGGGAGGCAGACTTCAGACGGTGGAACCCCGGAGAACCCAACTACATCCACTCAGATCAGTGTGCAGTGATGTACAGTATCGGTACATGGAACAATATCCCCTGTAGTCGAGTCCTCTGGCCGATGTGCAGCGATGTCTCAGGTGAGCAGAGTTCTGGTTCCTCCTCTGAAACATGAACTCCAGTCCTGAGTGTCTGTGAGCTCCGAGTCCATGAATCAGCTGTTTGTGTCTGTCGCACTATCGTCAATATTAATAATAAAACTGTATTTTCTCTGTATGTTTTATTTATTTATTCTTTATTTCATTCCTTTAAAAATAAAGAGAAACAGTTTAATTTTAATACAAACGTTTTCCTATCATGGAGAAAAGGAGCAGAAAGAATCTGATTTGATCTCCTTTATCCCCAGAAACCAACTTACAAAGAACAAACTTATAATAAAATAAAAAAGGAACGACAGCACAAACACAACTCAAACATGTATATATATATATATATATATATATATACATAAATATATATAATGAAATAGAACTATATCTGCTGGCCTCCACAGACAGTCATTTATCATTTAGTTCCAGTTAAAGTCACTCAAACAACAACAGGACAGTCAGAAATAATTTTAAATGTTTGACTTTGATTCTCTGACGTCTTTGTTCTGATTGGTCCATAAACTGATTCCTGTTACAGAAATACAACATTAACTTAACAAACACCTGCTGGTGAAGAACCACCTGAAGTCTGTCAGTCCTGTGTCCTGCTCAGAACCGTCGTTTCATCACTTTGCTCTTTTTCAGGGTCCACAGCTACATTTGTCATCATCTCCTCCTCCATGTCATGGACCGAAGGCCAGAGCTACTGCAGAGAGCACCACACAGACCTGGCCAGCGTGAGGAACATGGAGGAGAACCAGAAGATCCGAGAGCTGATACCTCCTGAGGGTTATGTCAGTATCGGTCTGACCACAGACCTGTGGGGGTGGTCCGATGGGAGTCAGACCTCGTTCAGGTACTGGAGCCCTGTGTCAGGGAGTGGAGAGCCCTGTGTGGCAGCAGACTTCAGCCACTCTGGACGATGGGAACGTTTTCACTGTGAGTCCAAGAAAGCATCCGTCTGCTACCAAGGTGAGCGATCAGTCAGCTGAGATTTACACGAGTGTTCAGAAAATCTGTCTGTTCGAGAAATTAGAGTTAAAAAGAAAAACTGAAAAACTGTCCAGAGAACCGAGACTGAAGACAGACGATCAGCTGCTGCAGGCGGATCGACTCCGACACTTTATATAGTTCATCTTAGAAAAGGACAACTGCAACACTTACACTGAGACATCTGAAAATAATGATAACAACAACAACGACAATGATAATGATGATAATAATAATAATAATGATGATGATTATCATTATTATTATTATCATTATTATGTTGGTAAATAATATAAAAAATAGAATAGAAAATAATAACAATAATAATAATAATTATAACATCAACAACAACAGAAATAAATAAATTAATAAAATAAAAAGATACAATAACATAACATACAATTAAATGAATTAAAATAAGATAGAAATGTGTGCGTTGTTGTGCTTATTATTCCTCTTATTATTATTATTATTATTATTATCATAAAAGCAACAATAATAATAACAATAATGATAAAATACAGCAATAATAATCATAATAATAATTATAATCATAATCATAATAAACTCAGTCACAATAAATTATAAAAAAATCTAATAAGAAAATAATAATAAATATTAATATTACAATTTTATTTCAATTGTTGTTATTATTATTATGATTATTCTTATGGTTATATTATTATTGTTATTATTATTACTATTATTATAAATAATGAAAAAAATAATATTAATAATAATAAATAACAACAAACATAAATAAATAAATAGATAGATACATAAAATAAAAAATAAAATAAAATGAAATAAGTTATAGAAACATGTCTGTTGTTTTCTAATGATGCCCTATCTCCACAGTTTCAACAGGAACCATGACAGTGGTCAAAGTGAAGTTGGTGAGACGAAGCTCCTCAGTGGATCCAAACGACCCTGCAGCGATGGAGGACATCCTGAAGCAGGTGAACCTCTCAAACCTGGAAGAATATGAGCTGTTTTTATTTTTAACCATTTTTTCATCTTTATAACCAAAAACAAACTCTGACCGTGAGCTTCTCAGGTTATATTATTAAAGTCAAAGAAGACGAGGTTTTAAGACAGAAGGGATTTACACTCAAGAGAGACGATGTTTCTGTGTCTCAGCTTCAACAGAGTCTGAAGGATCAGGGGGTACAAGGAGGTCTCAGACTGACCTGGAGGAAGCAGTCAGATGGACTCGTCTTCCACAGGGCCGAAGGGGGGCCCACAGAGGGATGAACACTAACTGATATTCTGTAGTTATTCACTGTGAATTCAACCTTCAGTAAAAGAGTGTTTGAAAAGTTGGTGTGAATCTTGATCTCTTCTTTTCCTCCAGTCCTCTCTCTCAATCATCAGTTTCAGGTCGCTGAGCTTCGCTCTGACGTCTCAGTAAAAGCAGTCAGAGATCAGCTCCTTATTCATGCAAACACGAAGCATTCAGACGTGTAGGAGTGTCCGTGTCGGAGTGTCCGACACGGACACTTCGACACGGACACTCCGACACGGACCTCAGAGTCTGTTTGGACTGAAGACAAATGAGTTTTGTTTCTCAAACCAGATCAGAGTGTTTTAATTCGCATTTATCCGATCAGACCCACTCGTACTTTTCGACATTAGAGGCTTTTGTGGTTCAGGTGTCCGGTATCATCGCCGCTCTACAGGTCCACAGAGACCTGGACCCAAACAGTCATGTGACCCACTGTGCAGAGCCTCTCCAGTTTGACCACGGTCTCCTCAGAGTCCAGATTCAGCTACAACTCTGGTCTGGAGGTGTACTTGTGCTGAAACCTGCAGTTCCCTGAGTGTC